AACAATGAAGTAGAGTTAGAGGTATGGAAATTTCCCAAGAACAACTTCTCAGAGAGAGCAATTATGTGGATATACAAGACAGTCTACATATGGCATTTCCTTGATGCCTGTCATCTTCTCTGAAGTAGATTGGTGCTGCCAGGAGCAGACATGTCTCATTGTCATAAAAGGAAAGAACCTTGTGTTATTAAAACATCTTAAATGCCATATTTTGTAGATTTCTGAAGTGTTTGAAGACCAGCTGTCTATCTAAAATATATCTGTTTGACAATGAAAACATACCTAACCTGACTACAAGTTTGATTGTAATAGGTGACTATCTCCTGACTTGAATTTGTTTATTATCTTAAGTAGTTTGTAATAATGACTTTCAAGGATTGAAATTTATATTACATTGTTAAATGAGCTGCATAATGAGCTGTATAGGTACAATACCTTAAACAAAAGTAGAAACATATGTACAGTATATTCTAACAAAAATAACCTTAAATTTGTATCAATATACAAAATATCTTAAACAAGAGTAGAAATATATACACAGTATAACAATAATAACCTCAAATTTGTATCCATATACAAAAATCCATACCAATGTAAAATATTTAAGACTAGTAGTTATGCCAGACCCTTGGCATTGGTGTGGTCTTCAATGGTCTCAGGTACCACAAACATCAACACAGACCCTGGCAATAGCACAACCACAAACCCAGACATGGTCCTCCACTGCAGTCCTGGTCTGTGTGATACCATGGCCCCACTTGACAGCACTGGCCACCCAAAATCAGCCTGGCCCCGGTGGCAGCACAGCATTCAGTCACCAACATGATCAGAGGTTGTGGCCCAGATCCTGGACATCCAACTGGCCCCTAGTGACAAAATGGACCAGGGACATCAACACAGACCTTGGCCGAAGCAGAATCATGGACCCAGACATGGCCCTTGGCAGCAGCCCAGGCCAGGTTGTCGCCATGGCCTCAGGTGCTGGTGCAGGCCACCCAGATTGACATGACCCAAGTGGCAGTGTATCCCTCAGACACCAACTTGGCTCCAGATGGTAGCCCAGACCACAGGCCCCTACACGGACCCAGCAGCAACAGGAGCAACAGACATCCACACAGGCCCCCTTAGCTGCTTCAGGGCCCCAGATCAAGACCTGGCCCTTGGTCATGGCCCAGGCCCATACACCTCCCTGGACTCAGTGGCCATCTGACCTTTCATGTCAGCCCATTCCTCTCCATCCTCACCTCTCCAGATCTGCTTCTCCCCCGAGCCCACATATCATTACACCTCTCCTTCTCTTCCACCTCCCCACCCTGTGCTCTCTCACCACAATGATGCCCAACTGCCTAGCACCCAGGCTTTTGGTTGAGTCACAGGTGGAGCTTGGTTGAGTACTGCCTGTCCCATTCATAAGGGATGGTGAGAAGCTGTTGCCTTTCCTCTCTCCTGTGCCCAGGCCCAGAGACCTTGGGAAGTACTTGGTATGATGGTACCTGGTTGATTGTGAGCCCTCAGACCAAAAACTCTGGGGTAGCACCATCTGTGTCTCCTGCCACTTCAGGCCCAGGGTGTAATCTTCTTACTGCATTCTTGAATTCAGTTTGCAATAATTTGAGAACATTTGCATCAGTATTCACCAGGGAAATTCGTGTATAGATTTCTTTTTTAAAAAATGTTTATTATTCACCATTCCTTCCCTTGTTATTTTATAGAACAGCTCAGAGCATTCACATTAACTCTTTTAACCCTTGATAAAATCTAGCACTTGCTGTGGGATAATGCTTTTTTACACTGGTTCAATAAAACATCGATTGGCCAGTAGCCAGGCAGGAAGTATAGGTGGGGTGAGCAGACAAGGAGAATTCTGGGAAGAGGAAGGGTTGAGTCAGGAGTTGCCAGCCACAGAGGAAGCAAGGCAGAACTGAAAAAAGGTACCAGGCCATGTGGCTAAACATGAATAAGAATTATGGGTTAATTTAAGTGTCAGAGCTAGTCAGTAATAAGCCTGAGCTAATGGCTGAGCAGTTATAATTAATATAAGCCTCTGTGTGCTTGCTCGGGGACACAAGTGGGAAAAATTTGTTGCAACTGCTGGCCAGGTGACACACAGGAAAACTTCCAATTACAGGCACTGGATCTTTCCAGTCCTGGGCTTTCCTTTGTATGGAGACACTTCATTACTGCTTTAATTTTTGTTTATATACTCTTTGTTTTTATATGAGTATATATATGACTGCATATATATCTACACACACACACACATATATATACATATATATATATTCATATATATATGGTAGGTTATATGCATATGGGAATCTATCAGTTTCTTTCACAGTTTTCAGTCTTTTAGGATATAAGATTTTGGAGTATTTAATGTTGTCTGGATTTCATTGGAATTTTCAATACCCTTCTCCTTCTCTTGGTCACCTCTATTTTTATTAATTTAGTCTCCTCCCCTTTTTGTTGGCTTAGAGAGTTGTCAATCCAATTTATTTTTCAAAGAACCAATTGTGTTTGATTGGGTTCTACACACTGTTCTCTTGATCTCAATTTTATTAATTTCTACTCTGGTATTTTTCCTTGCTGTGTACTCCTTGGAGTTTAGTTTATTCTACTTTTTCTGCCAAGCACATTTGATCTATGGTAGAGTTTAACTGAGTTTTTTCTGATTTGTAGTTTAAGGACCTATCTGAAGTTGAATTACTCACTTATCAGTGCTTGTATGTCCTTTTATGTATATTAGTGCATATTTTGTGAAATTGGGAGCCCAAGGATTGGTGTGTGTACATCTACAGTTATATCTTCTTGACAAACTGTTTCTTTTATTAGTGTGTATACATCTACAGTTATATTCTTCTTTTGTCTTAAACTTTTTATTGATTCTTTGTGGTTTTTTCATCCCGCACATCTCCCTGTCTCCTTGCCTCCAACTTCTGCCCTTGTGACCTCCCCCAACAAACAAAATTTAAAAGTATAGCCTAAAAACAAAACAAAAAACCACAGTATACCCTTTAATGCATACATCTTTTCTTGTAAGTGTTCTTTGTAATGGATCCTTGGTCTGGCTCAAGGCCTCTGGCTTCTGCTACTCTGTTGGCAGTGGGCCCTCATGGGACCCCTGGATATCCTGGTGGTGTCCTGTGTCATGGAAATCCTGCTGTTTTGGATCTACAGATCTAGCTCCTTCACATACTCCAGCAGTTCAAAGGTGAGATGAATGCTGGGGCAAGCTAACTCATAGCCCTGGGTCTGGTAACTGCCAGCTTTCCCTCGTTGCCACCACCAAGGTGAGCTCTCCAACACTGCCTTGGCCAGCTCACCCAGTGCAGCAGGCAGCAAGGAGGAGGCCAGCTCTCCTGCTCTCAAGCCCTCAGGTCCCGCTCACCCGCAGTCACACCACTAAGGCCAGCTCTCCTGTTTTGCCCAGGTAAGGTATATAGCTGGTTCTCCCAATTGCTCCAGTTGGTGAGGGACAGGGACAGCTCTTCTGTTCTCTTGACCCAAAGGCCAGTTCTCCCACCTTCCACAGTTGGCAAGTGTAGGGGGGTGGAGGGCATATTTCTGCCACCCATGCCACCACATGGCATACAAGGGAGGGGGCAGGTGCCACGCTCCTGCTTGCATGTCCTACAGGACCGGCTCACCTGTGCCCTTGCCAACAGGGTCAGCTCTAGTATACTGCAGCCAGTGAGAGGCAGGACCAGCTCTCTCACTCTCCAGCACTGCCCCAGCTAGCTCACTGAATGAAGCAGGCGGCAAGGAGAAGGACCAGCTCTCCTGCCCACCATAGGTGGCAAGGAGTAAGGGAGAGAGGCATCTTTCCCTCATCATGCCACCACATGGCTGATGGGGGTGGGGTGGGTCAGCTCTCCTGCTTTCATGCCCTCTGGGCTGGCTCACCTGCACCGCCCACCCCCACTGAAAGGGTCAGCTCTACTGTACTGCCCAGATGACGTGCAGTATTGACTCTCCCACTCTCATGACCCCAGGGCAATTATATCTCCATGATAAACTGTTTCCTTTATTAATCTTTATCTCTTATAATTTTAGTTTAAAGTGTATAGTTTGTCAAATATCAGGATAGCCACATCACTTTGTCTTCAGCTTGACTCTCAGTCATTCATTCTTTGACTCTCAGTCTTTGAGTGCCTTTTACCATTGAGGTGTGTTTCTGTAATGATCTCTGTCTGCTGAAAAAAGAGGCTTCTTTGATTAAGGATGAGAGCTACACTTATCTGTAGGTATAAGAATAAATATTTAGAATGCAGTCAGAAACCATACTATTTAGGGAAATGGTAGTAATAGGTTCTCCTCTGGGGCCATGACCCCACTAGTCAGGGGCAGTTAAAAAAGTTTATAGTACTAGGCATGGATTCCTTCCTATTATGTGGACCTTAAGTCCAATTAGATCGCTATTGGTTATTCCCAAGATATAAGTTCCACTATTGGAGATACCTTGCTGTGCTGAATATATCTTTGCTGTTTAGGCTTCACAGCTGGATAGGACTGTAGGTTGCTTTTCTCTCTTGGCGGCTTGCATAGTGCCTCCAGATACTATGATAGAAAGTCCTCAGGGATACTTCTAGGTCAGTTCCAGCTCGAATTCTCCAAGTCCTGTGTCTAAGGAGGATGGTGTCTTCAGCAATAGGCAACCGAAGGCAGCAGCAGTAGCCTATACTGTTTGGGGAGTCTCTTGGACTCCCTTAACCAACAACTTTCCCATGCTAGGCACTGAGGATTATATTAAATAGTCTTAGAGAAAGCATTCTTACCCCCAAATGGCATAAGTTTATTTAATATATACATAATTATATGGTTTATTGGTATAATAAACATTGCATAAATTAATATAATTTAGTATAATTATATAATACAAAATATGTGTTTTATTTAAGTAAGCATCAATTAATATGTTTCTCTATGGCTTTAAAACATCCTTAGAGTCATTCACCCCTTTCCCTCCCCAGTTAAAGTGCCCCCAGTTTTCTCCAGTTCCCTTTAACAGCCCTTGTGTTCTGCCATCAGTCTCTCTCTAGAGCTCTTTCTCCTCGAATGCATGGTCCATTCTTACTTTCCAGGTGTCTGTGTGGCTTCATGTTGTATACTCCCATCTGAACATTTGGAGCTAGGATCTACAAATAAGAGGATATGCAAAACGTTTGTCTTTTGGGGTGTGGGTGAGTTAACAGGAAGTAATTCAGTTCTAAATTTGTCCTTCTTAGCCCTCTCTACCACTTTATCCTGTCAAGCTTCCTTAAACAGGGCCACTCCACATCCCTTGAGCCCCAGCCCCTAAGAACCCCTTGCGGTGGTGGGCGGTGGTGGGCCTCTGCTGTAGAACACCAGTATAATGTGCTTCCTGTCTGCTCTCAGGAGAGATGTATACTCTACTGATTCAGAACTCTGTTGGATTTGCCCTCCCAGCTCTCAAAAGTTCTACTGTTCCTATCAAGGAAGCACAGCTGTTCTATAGAACTCTGTTCCTTTTTTAAAAATTACTTATTTGTATTTTATATACATTGGTCTTTTGCCTGCAAGTATGTCTATATGTGGGAATCAGATTCCCTGGAACAGGAGTTACAGACAGCTGTGAGCTGCCATGTGGATGATGGGAATTGAACTCAGGTCCTCTAGAAGAGCAGCCAGTAAGCCATTTTAACCACTGAGCCATCCCTCCAGCCCAGCACTCTATTTTTAAACTGCAGAATCATCTTGGCCTCTCCCATCATTCAGTGATAATGAACTTACTAAAATCCAAATTAAAAATTAGGGTGTAAATTCTCATTTATATGTAAAAATATTTATACTTGACATATAATGTATCTAAATAAAAAGTGATTCTGATTTATATAAGTATATACATATGTTTATAAATCCATCTATGCTCTGCTCTTTTTAAAAATGACAAAGCTATCCATAATACTTAGGTGTTATGCACACTACTGGAGGAGAAAAGTAAAAATCAATCTTGCCCAGCTGTGAACACTGGAAGCTCTGATAATGGCTTGGAAAGATATGGTACAATAGTGTCATGAATGTTACAGGGGTAACCTACCACTTTTAATTGAATTTAAAGTCAGCTCCACCAGATGGAATTCATACCTGACCTTATTAAGGAGGCCATGAGCCTTTAAGTAGATAAAGGTAAACCTAGTACTATTTTTCTGCTAAATGGATATAACAATAAAATGATTCCTAATGACTTATTACTGTGCCCATAGATCAGTGCATCTCTCAGCTCTCATCAGAGAAGCTTCTTCTTGTAGTTATGGCAATTAACAGAGATGCACAGCTCATTTGTTCATAGAATAGAGACTTAGGAGTATTCAGCCCACTCAAGGCTTAGAGATATAAGTGGAAGAGGGGGTGTCTTAGTAAGGATTTCTATTGCTGTAATGAAAACACCATGACCAAAATGGAAGTTGGGGGGGAGGGTTTATTCAGCTTACATTTCCATATTGCTGTTCATCACCAAAGGAAGTCAGGAGAGGAACTCAAACAGGGCAGGAACCTGGAGGCAGGAGCTGATGCAGAAGCCATGGAGGGGTGTTGATTACAGGCTTGCTTCACAAGGCTTGCTCAGTATGCTTTCTTAAAGAACCCAGGACCACCAGCCCAAAGATGGCACCATCCACAATAGTCTGGGTCCTCCCCAGTTATCACTAATTGAGAAAATGAGCATTTCCTTAACTGAGGCTCCTTCCTCTCTGATGACTCTAACTTGTATCAAGTTGACACACAAAACCAGCCAATACAGTGGGTGAAGAGCGTAAGAGCTAAGGTGGTTGATGACTGCAAGGAAACAGGGTTCTCCAGACACACAGGGCAGATGCACACAGGAACCCACAGCAGTTGCGACAGCATACACAAGACAGGCACAAGTGCGAGCCAGACAAAAGTCCAGCATGGAGAAGAGGTCGGTGTGATGTCTCACCCTTAGCCAAGGAGGTATTGGCATTTAATTGCTACTGGGAGAGGGGGTGTGAGCTTTCTATAATGTTGTGACACCAGGTATATTGACCACACTCCAGGGCAGGCTCCATACCCAGGAGTAGTGAACTAACGCAATCTAGACCCAATGGGACACTGGGGGAGAAACATGAAGTTGGGTGGGTAGAAATGTGGGGGAGGATCTTGGAAGGGTTAGGGGAGGACTTGGGGGAGGGGTGTGAATATTATCAAATTACATTGTATGAAATTCTTCAAGAATTAATAAACATGTTATTTTAAAGAATAACAAAGCTGAAAATTTAAAACTAGCAGTTGTTGACCCAAAGAAATTTTTAATGTGACCTAGGTACTGAAAATGCACAGAATTAAAAAATTATTTTTTAATATTTATTTATTTAAATGTTAAGTTTATGGAGTTTTTTGTCTGCACATACATAAGTACATCATCTGTATGCCTTATACCCAGGGAGGAGGTAGAAGAGGGTGCCAGATCTCCTGGAACAGAACTCATTGACCATTACAAATGGTCATGTGGATACTGGGACCTAAACCTGAATTTGGAAGAGAAAGCCAATGCCATCTTCCAAGGCCCCAAGGCTTTTATTTTTAAAAGTTACAGTCATTCTAGACCTGAGCTACAAAACCACAGAAGTCAGCTACTCATTTCCTCCTGTGGTTCCCGTCTTTGTAGATGGTCACATCCTCACCATCTTCTCTCACAGCAGCTTGCATCCACAGTCATGAGCTCTCTCATCTTTTGGCTACACCAAAGAAAACACAAGAGCCAGGAGGACACTGACTTTCTTGTCATGTGAAGTGCAGGGCCCAGGGAAGCTTTAAGGTTTCCACCCAGGGACTGGTACACAAAGAGAATTGTGTCTAACTCTTCTTCTCTGGGGTGTTTAGTATTGAAGGACACAGTTGGCCTAACTTTCTGGCTTAGTCCATCCAAACAAAAGGCAACTCCAAAGATGAACACAACTGGAATGTGGCTCAGAACCAGACACACAGTGAAAGAAGAGCGACGGGAGCCTGCTCTGACAGACTGCGTTACTGGGATGGAAAGCGCAGACCTTGTGCTACCTTCTTCTCTAGTTTTCACCTGTCTGCTCCTGACATTCTCACCTCTACTTCTGCGGTAGTCAGTGCTGTCAACATGACAAGATCTAAAAGCAAGCCTCTTGGCATACCTGTGAGGGATTATCCAGATTTAGGTTGACTGAAGTAGGAAGACTCACCTAACTGTAGACAGTGCCATTCCATCATCTAGGATCCTAGACCTAACCCCTTCTCCCTCCTGTAAGTGGAGGTGGAAGTTCTGTCCCACCAGCAACCCCAAAAGACCCAGCAGCCGCTTCCCAAATAATTGACTCTGAGGCTTAATATTACTTATAAATACTCGACCAGCAGCTCAGGCTTATTACTGACTAGCTCTTATACTTAAATTAACCCATAATTCTTATCTATGTTTAGCCACATGGCTTGGTACCTTTTCTCAGTACACATTCTCATCTTGCTTCCTATGCATCTGGCTGGTGACTCCTGACTCCGCCCTTCCTCTTCCCAGCATTCTTGGTTTGGTCACCCCAACTACACTTCCTACCTGGCTACTGGCCAACCAGTGTTTTATTAAACCAATTCAAGTGACAAATCTTTTCAGTGTACTAGAGAATTATTCCACAGCATGTCCCCCTTTTGTCTAATTAAAAAGAAAAGTTTTAACTTTAACATACTAAGATTATATACAACAAAAACAGTTATTAAGTAAGAATTACAGTAACACTATCTAATCATTTACATTTGGCAAAATTAGAGAAAATAATTATCTATCTTATCTTGGTGAATCTAAAGTTTTGCATCTAATTTACTTTCTACTATAACTAAGAAAATTATATCTATTTAGTCTTCAAATCCATCGAAGACCCCAGAAGGATGTAATGTTATCTAAAGGACAAGGACCTCAAGCTGCTTGGACAGTCACCTGAGGTTCCTCTGCAATGTTGGGGCATCCATCTTCAGCCTACAGGCCTAGAATATCTGACAGATTTTTCTGTGAAACGGGATTTTTGAAGGACTTTCCTGCTTTGTTTTAGCAAAGTTTAGTGGTCACTTTCCTGGTGCCCAAATGTTTAGCAAGAATTTCCACATAAAACCTGAGAAAACTATTTTTTTTAAAAAAGATCCCAAACACACAAAAGAACAGAGTCAAGCATGGCTTTTTGGTAGCAGCTTTTTCTTGGGTAGGCTCTATTTGCTGGCAGCGTGCAGAGGGACAGCTCCTTTAAGAGATAGCTTCCTGACTCAGCCTTAGTGACAAAAAACACATGGCTCTTTTAAGAAGCCCTGCAACCAAACACTTAAGTGGGATTTCTGAGCAACAGCTGGCACACTACTCAGTGGCAGTATGGACCCCCAAATTCCCCAGATTTGGTGCATTAAATGTGGCCCCCGCCAGTACCTCCACCATGAAGGTAGGCACTCAGAACCAAGGAATTGGGTGGAGCCAGCTTTAGTTTCTAGCCTTGCTGCTTAGCAGATTAAAGACTCATGTGGTTAGAAAGTGCTAGAGATATGCATCAAAGACAGATTCAGATGGGGAAAAAATACTCTGAACAGTTTACAGTATGTTAAAAAAATATGCAGAGGCTCAGAAGAGTAAAGAGAATGTATAGACAGTCTTGAAAAGAAATATATAGTTTTAAATAACAAGTCCTTAAAAAGGGAGTGAAGTAATACTAAAACAACCATATAAAGATGAAAAAAACACAGAGAGTCTGGATACTGTATGTTATTGTGTTATCTTTGAATGGTTTGACTGCTGAGGAAGAAGCAACAGCTGTTAAGAGACATTTGATTATAAATGTTGCTGGATTAATCCAACCTATTTATTTTGAAAATACTTTGACTTCAAAATTTAAGTCAAAAGGCATGTTACTTTGGAGAAGACATTATGCTTTTGTTTCCACAGAAAATGAGAGGCTGTGGATTCATTCCAGGTTAAGAAAAATCAGGTTTGATTGAGGAAAACCCCCTGAAAAATCTCCAGTGTGAATAGATGGCCCAGATGATCTAATGTTTCAGACCACCTCTGTTGCAGTTTCCTCTGAGTTCTGCTTCCAGAAAGGCCTCAAAGCTGCTGGCTGAGATGATCTAGCCTCACAGACTATTCCAGTCAGGACTTGACCATAATCCTAAATTTTCTCAGGATCTCCCAAAGATTACCAGCACACCCAATCAACAGGAAGTAGTCTAGAGAACTATGCCCACATTCCCCCAAAAATGGGTTATGGATATTTTACTATCATTTAAGGGATGATTGGTTACAAATTGTTACTGGTAATGGTTAGGAAAAAAGCTGAACAAAGGAGATTAGATTCAGGGATCTCATTTTAAAAAGAAAAGGGGGATATAGAAATGATGGGATAAAAAGGTAGATTATTAAATCTTTTTAATCCAAAAAAACAACTGTTAATCTTACATATTTTACATTAGTATGAATTTTGGTTTATTGATACATATTTAAAGTTAATTTTGTTATACTGTATGTATATTTTTACTCTTGTTTAAGATATTGTGCTTATGCAGCTCAATTAAAAATGTAATGTATAGTTAAGAAATACAGATTAGCCAGGCAGTGATGGTGCACACCTTTAATCCCAGCACTCAGGAGGCAAAGCCAGGCAGATATCTGTGATTTTTGAGGCCAGTCTGTTCTACTGAGTGAGATCCAGGATAGGCACCAAAGCTACACAGGGAAACCCTGTCTTGAAAAAAAAAGAAAGAAATATTAATAATTAGTTATACATAATAGTCACCCATATCTATTAAACTTATGGTCATGTTAGTTAGGTTTTCTAGGTATATAGAGATACATTTCAGATAGATAGGCAATTTTTAAACACTTCAAACATCTACAAAATATGGCATTTAAAATGTTTTGATAACTTGGGCTTTTTATGACAGTGAGACATGTCTGCTCCTGGCAACACCATCTACTTCAGAGAAGATGATAGGCATCAAAGAAACTCCATATGGAGTTTACTTTCTTTATGCCAAAAGTTAGCCACTGGACAAGAAATTGTCCTTGCCTCAGTTGCTGACATTATCTGTCCAAACTGGTCCAGCAGGATACAATAAAGACAACTGCTGAAGTTTACCAAGATAAAGTAAGACAGTCCTTTAAATTTCTCTGCTTCACAGGAAAGTCTGTCAGACATTCTAGGCCTGTAGGCCAGAGTTGGATGCCCCAATGTTGCAGAGGAACTTTGAGTGACTGCCCAGGCAGCCTGATGTCCCTGTCATTGGGTAACATTTTACCCTTCTGGGGTCTTTGATGGAGTTGAAGACTAGATAGTTAAAGTTTTCCTTAGTCATGATAAAAAAAAAAAATTGGCATAAAACTTCAGATTCACCAAGATAAGATAGATAATAGAATGTTTTCTCTAATTTTGTCAAATACTAATAGACTAATATTGTTGTGATGGTATTCTAATTGTACTGAAATGTGATTTTGATTGTATGTTAATAAATAAAGTTGCCTGGGGGTCAGAGCTATTAGAGCCATAACAAGAGTGTGGCAGTGGTGGCACACGCCTTTAATCCCAGCACTTGGTAGAAGAGCTAGGTAGATCTCTGTGTGTTCAGGGATACAGCCAGCATTGGAGACATATGCCTTTAAGACCTGGGGGGCTGTACATAAAGACAGTGATGAGGCAATCACATGTTTGGGTTTACAACCAATGAGAAGGCAGAACAAAAGACTATGAAAAGACTTACACACAGGAAATAGGTCTCTTTCAGGAAGTAAGGAGCTCCCAGGAACAAGGGTAAGATTTTAGCTCTGAGCTCTGACCTCTCGGCTTTCTCTTTTACATTGGTTCTGTGTTTCTTATTTAATAAGACGGTCAGTTACATCTACATATTGTAACTGTTATTCTTACTTGATAGCTGCTTTTGTTGTATATAATTTTACTATGATAAAGTTAAAACCTTCCTTCCAAAAAAGGGGAAGTGCTGTGGGATGTCCTTCTATACACCGTGAATGTGTGTTGCTCTCATTGGTTGATAATACAGCAAAATAATGTTAGGTGGTTCAATCAAACTGAGGACTGGGAGGAGGAAGGGTGGATTCAGGAACTACCAGCCAGATGCAGAGGAAGCAAGATGAGAATGTTGTACTGAGGAAAGATACCAAGCCACATGGCTAAACACAGATAATATTTATGGGTTAATTTAAGTGTAAGAGTTAGTTAGTAGTAAGCCTGAGCTACCAGCTAATCATTTATAATTAATATAGGCCTCTGTGCTATAATTTGGAAAAGGGCTGCTGAGTGTTTGGAAATTGCTGGAGGGACAGAAACTTCTACCTACACCTCCCTCTGCCTCTCTTTTCTGACTGGATGCAACGTGGCCAGCTGCCTTAAGTTCATGCCAACATGGCTCCCTTGTCATGAAGGACTGAACCCTTAAACTATGAACAAAGACAAACCCTTCTTCTGTTAAGCTGTTTAGGCCAAGCAACAAAACAAGTGCTGAGTACAACTTCCTTCAGACAGCCTCATCTACAGCAAAGCCTCAAGGTGCTGAAATCTAGAAGCAGGGTTGTGAGGTGAAAGGTCAATTACTAATTAATTCTTAATAAAAACAAGGTGGAGGCTGGAAAGATGACTCCCTGGTTAAGAGTGCTGGTTGCTCTCCCAGAGGACCTGGGTTCAGTTACCAGCACACAGGGCAGGTCATAGTCTGTAAGTCCAACACCAGGGATTCTGATGCCCTCTTTTGACCTCTGAAGGAACTTCATGCACATGGTGCACAGACACTTTCTGGCAAACACAAATAGACAAAGTAAAATAAAATAAAAGGCACTCCTACCTTCAAGACAATCAGGAGCGGTCTTTCTGTCCACAGGGACCGCTGCCTCTTACCTCTTCCACAATCATCTTTCTGCTCCACCTCTTCTTCAGACCATGCTCTACATAACCAAGACTGAAATCGAGTCTGGTACACTGCGGAGAGAAACCCCAACTCCCCCAGGACTTCTTCATCATCACTGTCATCAGATCAGTGTGAAAGGAGACTGCTGCCAGCCAGGTTGCTCAAGTTCTAGTGTGGTGCCCATAGTGTGAGGATATTTATACTGAAATTGGCAGCGTTACCAATCAGGGTGCCGAGGCTGGAGGTGTTGCTCTTCCTAGGTTCATCCCCTGCACCTCCTAGGATTCTTGAGCTGGTTCCTCTCATCTCCAAGCACCAGAACTTCACTGGTCTCATACGATGCTTGACCAAAGGCCTCAAATAGCCCCAATCACTATTTCTAAATGCAGAGTTCCAAAAATCCCGCAATACAGGAAAGTGTGGAGATTATATATTATTATACTGTAAAGTTACTGGTTTAAGGATAAATCCTCTGATATTATTGTCAATTTGCAGATAAGTGAGGGGGTATCTATATTCTCATACAATTATTATTCTAATGTTTTTACAAACAAACACACTTACTAATGGAAATATTTCAAGAAATTTCTGTGTCTAGGCAAAATGCTGGACTCACCTTGCCCTTTTTCTGCTCAGTTTCCAAACTCCCCAGCACTGTCCAGGTCTGTGGAATATTCTTTCTGACTTTCCAGACAGTTTCTTTTATTCTCTAAAACATAAGCAGCATCAGCCAGAGAAATGTCTCAGTCACTAGAAGTACTTATTTCACAAGTCCACCAACTTCCATTTGATCCCAGGAACCCACGAAAAAGCCAGAGGCAGCAGAGTGCATCTGTGATCTCAGCCCTTCTACAAGATGACAGAGGCAGAAGAACCAGCCAGAAGCTCCCATACACAGCACAGCCACAGAAACAGAGGTCCTGCCCCAAAACCAACTCCTGAAGACTGGTCCTGTGACTCCCACAACTCTGCTGTGGTATTTGCAACCCCATGCACACTCTCAATAAATTATAATTTTTAAAGTGGCACAGAACATGTGTGTTATCTCACAACCTGCTTTCAACTTCATAATAAAACAGTGCAGATGTTTCTCCACTCAAACACACACAAGATTGTTTTGGTCCTTAGCACCGGAGTTTCCTAACATGAACTTCCTGTATCTCACCCAAGCATTCCTGCACCACTGCAGATTTGATTGCACCTTTATTTGTTCATCATGTTACATATACACTGGCTACCATGGCCATCCCTGTTCCCATACTCCAAGCACCTTCTGGGGAGCTCACATCTGTCTGGAGCCATGGGCATGGAGGGCCAGATAGATGGCTGGTGGTCTGGATTTCCCCACAGGAGGCAATCCCATTTCTCCCTGCATGAGAACTAAGTTCAGGCTCCTTGTCTCTGGATTTCATTAGGTTGACTCCCCTGCAAGGCCATGGTCAAGAATACCAAAGTGAGAGAATCTTGAGCAAAAAAACACTTTTAGGGGAGTTTTCTTTTCCTTCACCATTGTCATGGACACCTGGTATTAATTAGCTCCAGGTTAGTTCTGTGTATTCATCAAACTATAGCTTCCATCCATCATGCCCCTTTCCTTCTCAGCCTGATCCCCTACATTCTTCAGAGGGGAGGCTCAGATGTTTGGACACAGGGGCACATCCATGGGTCTATTTTCTTTGGGAGGAGGGGTCTGAAATCAAGCTGATCCTCTCTCTTGAATGCCCATTAATACCAGTTTATGGCCCCACGATGACTTTATAAACCACCCACTAGTCATAAATTCTGACTTTACTCCCTCCCTGGTGTCTTTGGGAAGGCTCTCCATTGTCTTTGAGCTTTGCTTGGTTTTTCTTATTCTGCTTTCTCTGTTGATTTATATATTGATCTTGTCTGATTTCTAGCTTCTGGAACTTTATAGATTATCTGGTCTAGCCCATGCTGTCTCTTCCTCTATTGCAACATTATTCTTTTATGTATTTTTCCACAAATGGAAGTTAAAACAAATGATCTCACAGGAGTAGAAAGTAAAAATGGTCACTAAAGGCCAGATGGATTGCGAGGAGAGAATACAGAGTTAGAAAAGGGGGAACATTCTCATGTTCCACAGAGCAGTGAAAAAATGCAGTTTATTTATTATATATTTCAAAATAGCTGCAGAAGAGGTTTTTAAATGCTCCACACACACACACACACATAATGACAAATGTCTAGGGGATAGAAACACTGGTTATCATGGTCTGATAATTACATATAGTAAACCATTTACATGCTTCATACTGCACCCCACAAATGTCTATAATCATTATATGCTTATTGATTTTGTTTATTTAAAGTGAATTTTTCTAAACTTTCAATAGGGACTAGAGAAAAGAGTAGCTTCTGAAAAGTCTCAGTTTGCCATCTTGAATCTGGTAGATTACTAACTTCTGATTTCAAAAATAAGAATTCACCTAAATATTTAAACAATATGTGAATCTCCTTGTAAACTTTTCTTTACCTATGCACACTAAACTTCACACATGCCTCCTTGCCTGCCAATCCTCCCTTCTAAACATATCACAAGCATTGCTGCTTTTCAAGGCCCATGAGCAGGCAGGCTGGAATGACAGCTCAGTCAGTAAGAACTCAGGCTACTCTTCTAGTGAAGCTAGGTTTGATTGACAGCACCCCCATGGCAGCTCATAGCCATCTGTAACTCCAGTCCTGGGACCTAGTTCTATTTCTGGCCTCCTTGGACACTGCAAACACATGGTGTACAGACATGTTTGCAGATTAACATTCTACATATCATAACAAAAATTAATTTAAATAGATAAAGTTCCATGAGCAGTAGTCCAGATTCTGTCTATGAATACACTCCACCTACTGGCTTGACGTAAATGGGATCCCATCGTAAGTGCTGTTTTTACATAGCTTTTCACATACAATACTTGCTAAAGGTATTTCCTTTGGTGGATACAAATTTATCTCATTTTAAATGGCTGCATGGCACTTCATAACACAAATTTCCTGGTTTTTATTGAACAATAAATGGCTACTTGCTTGTTTCTCCCTTTAAAAGTGTTATTAGTATGTATTAATTACACACAAGATGAATTTCACTGATATTTTCATGCATTCATCTTTTTTTAATCGTATTCACTTCCATTACCTTTTTGTGAGCCCCCCCACACACACTCCTTTCAATCCCTTCCCTCTTTCCAACTAGTTCCTCTTCTGTCTTCATGACTGAATGTTTGTAACTCAATGAGTTAAATTAGGGTTGCTATTACAAGAGTGGGAAAGTGGTAGGGAGGAAGGGAGAGAGGGAAGGAGGGAGGGAGGGAGGGAGGGAGGGAGGGAGGGAGGGAGGGAGGGAGGGAGGGCGAGGGTAGGAATATGGGAAACTTACCAACTTACTGAGGATACTGTAGGTCTGGCTGGCCTAGGACTCCCTTTGTAGACCAACCTTGCCTCAAACTTGCAGCACACCCCTGCTTCTGTTCCCCAAGTGCTAGGATTATAGACATGTGCCACCACCCAGGTTGGCACTGACATCTTATTCTTCCCGTTGTTATACTGTGTCCCTCCACTTACTGAGGGGTTTTTCATATTGTCCCAGTAAGTTTCAGTGTTGTCTTCATATTTCATATTAATTCTATGCTGAGATTTCAAGGTTTTGATGCCATTGTGATTTTTTTCCATTGCAATTTTATAACTATTATTGCTAATTGTGTTTTGTTTCTTGATTTTCTTTTCTTTCTTTGTGTGTGTGTGTGTGTGTGTGTGTGTGTGTGTGTGTGTGTGTGTGTGTGTGTGTTCGTTCCTTGGTTTATAATTGTTCTCATACTTTGAACTTTTATATGAATTTGAATAGCTTTGCTATTAAGCCTCTAGGATTTTCTGGGTAAGAAAATATCACGTGCAAGTGGTGACTCTTTTGACTCTTCCTTTCCAACATTATCCCTTTTTTATTTGTGTTTTATGAAGTCCAACATAGCATCAGTGGGAGCTGAGATACTAAGCTTGTGTCTAGGAGAGATCCAGGATTTCAGTGCTCATCATTGTCCACAGTGTTCACTGCATAGGTGGATTTCCATTCATTTCTGGCTTATACATAGTTATTTTTGTTGTTGTTGTTGTTGTTGTTGTTGTTGTTGTTGTTATAAGTATTATTATTATAAATGAATGTTGAGTTTTTGAAATCTTCTTTTATAGTTACTCCTTTCTCAGCCTGTTATATTAAAAGATAATTGAGATAGATAGATAGATAGATAGATAGATAGATAGATAGATAGATAGATAGATAGATATAGATAGACAGACAGATGGCAGATGGCAGATCTGTCTACATATATATTATACTATCCACACTTGTAGTCACCCTGATGTCATAGTCACAAATTAACTGATATATGAGTAAACCATATATATGTATGTATTATATGTGTATATATATATATGTGTGTGTATGTATATATATATATATATTTATATATATTACACTATCTACACCTATAGTCACCTTGCTGTTATATTTACAGATTAGCTGATGTAGTATTATTGGCCCCTATTAGCTCATAGGGAGTGGCACTATTAGGAGGTGTGGCCTTATTGGAGTAGGTGTGGCCTTGTTGGAGGAAGTGTGTCATGTGGAGGCAGGCTTTGAGGTCTCATATATGCTCAAGCCATGCCCAGTGTCTCAGACCACTTCCTGTTGCCTGAGAGTCAAAATGTATAACTCTCAGCTACTTCCCCAACAACATGTCTGCCTGTATGTCACCATGTCCCACCATTATGATAACAGACTAAACTTCTCAAAATGTAAGCCCCTCCAATTAAATAGGCTTCCTTTATATGACCATGGGGTCATGGTGTCTCTTCACAGCAATAGAAACCCAACTAAGACAGAAATTGGGACCAGGGACTGGGTATTGCTATGAGAGGCCTGACCATGTTTTTGTTTTGCAGAATTTGGACTTTGGTACTTTAGGTTAGGATAGCAGTGGAATGCTTTAAGCACAACTTAATGGGCCATGTTAGAAAACAATGGTGCTGAGAATGATTTGAACTGTGGGGAGCTGGCTCAACGGGTTTCAGAGGAGAAGAATATTAGTATGTTGCCTAGAGATCGTTCTTGTGATATATTGGTGAAGAAAGTGGCTTCCTTTTGCCCATGTTGGAAGAGTCTGCCTGAGGCTACAGTGAAGAGTTTTGGATTAATTCCATTGGCAGAGGAAATCTCAAAACAGCCTAGTATTATAGACTCTGTTGTATGGTTATTAGTGGTAACTCTAATGAAGATTTATAAGGAAAAGAAGTGAGCTGAGCAGGATAAATTACAAAAAGTACACTTTGAGGAGAAAAAGAACACGAGGAAACGGAATGGAGCTAAGTCCTGTGTTCAAGGAGGTAAAAGACTAAGAAATGGAATAACAGGATTACTGACCTCAGGGCAAGGTCACACCCAGCTATGTTTCCAACTTGTGGAAAGAAATTAAAGAAAATCTTAGATCTGGGTTTGGTAGTGCACAGCTTCAATCCCAGAACTCCAGAGGCAGGGGCTGGCAGATCTCTGAGTTTGAGGTCAGCCTGGTCTATAGAACAAGTTCCAAAACAGCAAAGCTTAAGGAGTGAAGAAAACCATTGAAAAGAGAAAACTGGTAAAGATGTAATTGAGTGAGGGGCCATGTTCCAGCCCCAGCAAGCAGCAGAACTTAGGAGCTTTGG